TACTGCCACAAGATCCCCCCTCAGCCTTCTCCTGCAGAGGCTGAAAGGGTCCAGGTCCCTCAGCCTTTCCTTCTAAGGCCTTCGCTGCAGGCCTGTAACCATATAAGTGGCCCTCCTCTGGACCCTCTCAAAGTTGTCCACATCCTTCTTGAATTGTGGCACCCAGAATTGGATGCAGTATTCGAGGTGTGGCCTAACCAGTGCCACATACAGGGGGAGCATCACCTCTCTGGACCTGTTTGTGATGCACCTACTAATGCATGATGAAGTGCAGTTAGCTCTGCTAATTACTTCGTCAAATTGACAACTCATATTCATCTTGGAATCAACGACTCTGACATCTCTTTCTGCTGCTGTGCTGCTGAGGAGGTCATCCCCCAGCCTACAGGTGTGCTGTTGATTCCCAAGATGCAGACCTTGCACTTGTCCTTGTTGAACTGTATCCTATTGTTCTCTGCAAACTTCTCTAACCTGTCCAGGTCCGCCTGGATTTGGTTTCTTCCCATCAATGTGTTTCCTTCTCCCCATAGTTTGGTGTCACCTGCTTATTTGGACAGAGTGCTTTCTACGTCCTCATCCAGGTAGCTGATGAAGATATTGAACAGCACCGGCCCAAGGACTGAGCCTTGGGGGACCACACTGCCCACATCGTTTGAGGTCCATACTGACCCATCCACCACCACTCTCTGGGTATGACTCTTAAACCAATTTACCACCCTCATGACTGTGTAATCATCTATGGCACAGCTATTCAATTTGTTTATAAGTATAGGATGAGATACCGTGTTGAAGGCCTTCTTAAAGTCCAAGTAGATGACCTCTACTTTGACTCCTGCATCTAAGCATTTAGTGATCTGGTCATAAAAAGAAGCAAGGTTAGTCAGGGAGGATCTACCTGCTATGCACCCATACTGGTTGGTCTTTAGCATATTACGCACTGGACTCCTACAAATGTGATCCTTGATAATTTTTTCAAGGGTTTTCCTAAGGATAGAGGTGAGACTAACTGCTCTATAGCTATCTGGATCCTCCTTCCTCCCCTTCTTGAAAATAGGGACCACATTGGCCCTTTTCCAGTCCTCAGAGACCTCACCTGAGCACCACAAGTGCTCAAACAGCCGTGCCAGTGGCTCTGCTATGATTC